TGATGCCAATTGTTGAGTTAATCGATTGACAAATATGACCAAGAGGGGGGTGAATTGGCAATTAAAATTTTGGTGGAAGCTTTTGCAGAAAATTGAAAGAAATTTGCACAGCGATTTAGAGTGATTCGACTTTCTCAACCAAAGTCTACGTCCATTACCTTAGCTATCCACACTAAGGATTTTCCACAAATTCACTAATTTGTTTTTCTTTTGAGGACAAAGAGTAACCTTACAAACCCTCAAGAATTATACCCCAAATTCTTGAGAACATTTTCTCCCAAAGAGAACAATACAAATTTGCAAACTTACAAGGAAATCCTCACAAGGTAGATTGTTTGCACAATTATAAAACAAAGAAAGGAACACTCAAGAATGAATACAATTGAGCACAATAAGTGTTCTTGAAAGCAAAATGAATATTGAATGAAAAATTGATTTGAAATGCTCAAACTTGAGGTTTGATGCTTTCTCTTTGATTCTCTCTTGATTCTAGTTGCTTGATGTTTCTTGTTATTGATCAATGGCTTCTAAGCTTGCTTAAATACACCTTGAATCACTTCTGAACGTTGAAGATCATTAATGAAGTTTTTGGAGCCGTTTAAGTGTGAAAACAATTAATATTTCTGCTCGGAGCGTGGGGGGAATCGGTACCCCTAATGGGGAATCGATTCCCCTAATGGGGAATCGGTTCCTTAAGTGTAAAATTAAAATATTTCGACCGTTGAACAGTGGGGGGGAATCGGTACCCCCTAGGGGGAATCGGTTCCCTCCGAGCATACTGGAATTCTCGAAGCCAAACCATTCAGTGGGAATCGGTTCCCTCTGAGCAATCTGGAATTTTTGGCTTTGAAATGGTTCGAAATATTTTGTAAAATCGTTTTGAAATTATTTTAAAATTAAAACTTAATTTTACACTTGAGTAAGGATTTAAAATGAACTTTGAAATACTTTGAGTAATATTTTGATATTCGATTTAATATATCGAATATGCTTAGAAAAAATCTTTTTTAAAATTAAAATTCTTTTAATTTAATTTGTTATATCGAAACATCAAAATGTTTTCAACACAACTTTACCATATTTTGAATGTTTATAAAATACTGTGTGATCAGCTTGACTCTGCAAGAAGCTATAACTGATAACTGTCTTTCCAAAGCGATCAAACCAAGCTCTTGGTGACTGTTTGAGTCCATATAGTGACTTATGTAATCTGCATACTTTGTTACTGCCAAGTTTCTTCTCAAATCCTGGCGGTAGGCTTATATACACCTCCTCTTCCAGATCACCATTGAGAAATGCATTTTTAACGTCAAGTTGATGTAGAGGCCAATCGGAGTTCACTGCAAGAGATAACAACACTCTAATAGAATTTATTTTAGTAACAGGAGCAAAAGTCTCTTGGTAGTCAATCCCATAAGTCTGAGTAAAGCCTTTAGCCACCAATCTCGCCTTGAATCTCTCAACACTTCCATCAGCTTTACTTTTTATTGTAAACACCCATTTACACCCGACTATTTTCTTTCCTTTGGGTAGATCGACAATTTCCCATGTACCACTTCTCCTTAGAGCATTCATCTCCTCCATGACTGCTAATTTCCAATTCGGATCATCCAATGCTTCCTGTATATTCCTTGGAACAAACAAATGTGAAATCCTAGATGTGAAAGTTTTATGGTTTTTTGATAATCTGTGATAGGAAAGATATTTTGCAATGGGATGTTGAGTGCAATTTTGGACACCTTTCCTAAGTGCTATAGGGACATCAAGATCAGGAATACTAGGTGAATTATTGGACAAAGTGGAGGAAATCAAAGGTGTAGTAGGGATAGGATTACCTGAAGTTTCGACACCAGAACTTAGATCTTCAGATTGGTTTCGTCCAGGGTTGATATTTGAGTCTTTATTTCTCAAATGAAATCTCTTCCTAGTATAAAACTGAAGCTCAAAATTCAAATCACGTTGATTAGTTTGTATATTTCTCCCCCTGAATGAAAATCTCCTTCATTAGGCACCAACAAACCTGATTCTCCTAGGCAATCGTTATTAGAAACACTTGAATTTGGATTTTCAAAGCGACCACTCTCAGAAATGCGTGGTTTTGTGTAGGATAAATGACATTGGGTAGTGCGATAGAAATGTCCAAAAAATTGTCTTCTATATCACTTGTCTCCCCCTGAAGAGAATATTTTGTGAAATAAGGTTTTGTTTCCAAAAACGACACATCCATACTCAAATGAAATTTTTTTGTTTGAGGATCAAAACACTTATACCCCTTTTTATTTGAAGAGTACCAAAAAAATGCATTTAATAGCACGTGGGTCAAGTTTTGAACGAAATTGGCATGGAACATGAACATAGATAGTACATCCAATAACTTTGACAGGTAACTCAGAAAACAACCTTGTTCCAGGAAAAGATGATTTTAGGCAATCGAGTAGTGTTTTGTATGTTAACACCTTAGTAGGCATCCTTTTTATCAAGTAAGCGGCTGTTAAAACTGCTTCACCCCATAAGTATTTGGGAACATTATGGCACGTGCTACTTCAAGTAAATGTTTATTTTTTCGTTCTGCAATGCCATTTTGTTGAGGGGTATCCCGACATGTAGAGTGATGAAAAATCCCTTTCTCTTTCAAAAAATCACCTAAGTGCTCATTAAAATATTATGTTCCATTGTCAGAATGTAAAATACTAATCTTGGTTTGAAATTGGTTTTCAATCAGAGTGTAAATTTTTTTGAATAAATCTTTCACGTCAAACTTTTTATTCATTAGATAAATCCAACATAACCGTGTGTGGTCATCAATAAAAGTAACAAACCACCTTTTACCAAAAATAATAGTAACTTTAGAAGGGCCCCAAACATCACTATGAATCAGATAAAAAGGTTTGGAGGCCTGATAATCTTTTGGTAAATAAGAGGAACGACGATTTTTTGAAAAAAATGCAATTTTCATAATGAAAAGAAGAACAATCAATCCCTTTAAATAATTCTGGAAATAAGTGTTTTAAATAAAGAAAACTAGGATGTCCTAGTCTATAGTGCCACAACATTATTTTTTCTCGAACAGAAATTGAACTAGTACCACTAAAGCTTTGAACTTTTTTATTACTGATAGATACTTCATCAAAGTAATAAAGACCTTCAATCATCCTAGCACGTCCAATCATCATCCCCAAGTTTCGGTCCTGAAATTCACAATGTGATTCAAAGAAGGTAATGAAACAATTAGAATCTCTAGATAGTTTACTGACAGACAAAAGATTACAAGCTAATTTAGGGACATGAAGAACATTATTGAGATTAATTTTCTCTGATAGTTTATTGAGTCATTTTCTTGCAATAGGTGAAAAACTATCATCGGCAATTCTAATTTTTTCATTTCCAGGGCAAGGTGAATAGGTATTAAATAAATGAGAAAAACTAGTCATGTGATCTGAGGCTCCGAAATCTATTATCCACGGAGAGCAATTTGGATAAGAAAGGGCTTTAGGATTACTACCTGTTTGTGCCAAAGAAACACTAGGAATACCGGATGAGAAATTGGATTTTATCAGTTTCAAGAGTTGATCAATCTGCTCTTTGTTGAAGGGACCTGAGTCAACTTCACTTGCAGTAGGAATTCCACGATTCTTCTCTCCTTGCTTGTTACTTTTCCAGTTAGCAAGTTTGCCATGAATTTTCCAACATATCTCACGTGTATGGCGGGGTTTGTTGCAAAAATCGCACCAAACCCGTGGTTTATCATCAGACCTGCGCTGGTAGTTTGCTACCTTGTAGGTTGCAACATCACTCAATAAGGCAGAATTTTCAATTAACTCACAGTACTCTTCTTTTTGAGCATGACATTCATTCGGCTTTCTTTCTTCTAACTTCGACAAATACTTCGCCAATGGATGGAAGAGGAGGTCTGCCAATAATCCTTCCTCGTACTTCATCAAACTCAACATTGAGGCCGGCAAGAAACTTGTAAATACGACTATCTTCTACAGTTTTCTTATGGTGATTACAGTCGTCAATATTTTTCCATACGTATGTGTTGAAGAGATCAAGATCCTGCCACATCCTTTTCAACGAATGGAAATATGTGGTGACAAAATTATCTCCTTGACGAATCTCCTCCAATTTTAAAGTCAACTCAAAAACTTGAGATTGGTTGCCTAGGTCAGAATACATCTAACATTATCCCACAATTCTTTTGCAGTAGGATAGCACATGTAATTGGAGCTTATGTCCTCCTCCATGGAATTGACCAGCCATGTCATAACCATAGAGTTTTTAGCATCCCAAGTAGCGTACAGCGGATCATCAACAACATGAGCCTTCTTGTCACTAGTGATGTAACCGATTTTCCCTTGCCCACGAATATACATCCGGACTGATTGTGACCATCGGAGGAAGTTGTCACCATTTAAGCGGATGGTGGTGATTTGGACAGAATGAGAATTGGAGTGGTGCTGCGGAGTGGCCACAGCAGGGGTTGAGGTGATTTCCGACTCGACTTCGGACATGGCTATAGTGATTTTGGAACTGCTGTGTTTTAGGGTTAAGACACGATTATGGCTCTGACACCAAATCAGAAAAGAATGAAGAAATAATGTGTCTTATTTCTTGAATGAGTACAAGGCTCCTTTTATACAGAGGGAAATTACAACAAAAAAAGAAACTAATTAGAGCCAATATTTGATAGTTTCTACTTTCCTACTTTTTCTTGATTTACATCTTTTACTTTCTATATTTACATAAAAAACAAATCCTAGAATATCTCACAGATTATGACTAAATCAAGGCTTTCAATGACCAAATTTCCAACATGTTACATTGTACTTTTATCTTTCCTTTTGAATTTGATTTATAGAGCTTATATTGCAGATTTCTCTCAAACTATCAGCATATACAAACCAACAATTGTCTCCATGTTTCAATAAACTAAATATAAAAATGGAACATTTCTTGTTTTTCTAAATTTACTGTATCATTTACAAGGTTTTTTGGTTATAAATTGTGATAACATCTTTCAGAACCAAAATTCCCATGTAAAATTTACCTTTTTTTCTTTGCCTCTATAATTTGAATGCGCAGATAAACATGTTGGAAGATAAATTGCTTCATCAGCAGAAGGTTTACATATTAGATATGCTTTGTTCTGAAATGCAATCCCAGATTTGCTCAGTAAGTAAATTGCCAATTTATGTTTTGCAGGGGTACTAGTTTTCCCCTTACTCTTAACCAAACTACACCATCATATTGCTGATGTCACTCTTATTTGTGGTTCTCATCAGGCATACAACCAATCCTGCAATTTTCTACATAAGAGGTTATTCCACTTTATGATCTCTATCATGGCTGTATCATGAATGTGACTAATATTGGTTTCTGTAGTTAATATTGAAATTTGTGTTGCTGAAATGATGCTCTTGCAGAGTAGCTGAAACAAGACAAGTCCTTTGCAGAATAGTCTATGGTAAGGCTATATTGCAGTTGATGCACGTGAAGCGTGAAAGATTGCTGGTATTTTCTTTTTTCTCTGTTTCTCTTTTTCCTTCGTGTCTCTCAAATACCTACTCTTTAGTACCTGCCTATTTTTCCCATTTCAGAAACAGGTAGAGTTACGTAGAACTGGAGTTCGGGAGTCTCAAATGTTGAAGTTAAATTTTGTCAAACATCATTCTGCTTCTTCTGAAAAGGACACTAAGCATGGCGATAATTCATGTTCAGTTACATTTGGAAACAACCTTAAGGTACCCTCATCTGTTATAAGATATGGATATACCCTTAAGTCCTTTGCTGCTACATCCCTTTTAAATGAAACCCACATGAAGTTGGGTTTGTATGGCTCCCAATTTTCAATTTAATAGTGTTTTAAGTGGCTAAGAATTTACTTAAATTGGAATTACTATCTTGAAAGGTTCTGGCTCATATTTTCTTAAAATGTTCTATTTTAGAGTATGATATCTGTGTTTTTTTATATGATTAATTCCGAATGCCTACAGTTTGAATAACAATGTTTGCAGCAGTTATATATTTTGTGTATGCCGTGTAAATTGTTCAAATTAGTAAAAATATATCTTTATGCTTTAAGGCATCGTTTCTACATATTGTGAAATACTACTGAGTTTAAAGCATAAGGGAGAGACCATGTGGAGTGCTCTTAAATCTGTTGTACTGAATAATGCTCTTAGCATTCCATCAACTATACCAAAATCAACATTCTCAGTTTTTATGGTTCATACTCTCTTATGATGTTGTATTTTACAGTTGAATAACTCAGTGCCTCTTATATTGTTCTCAAAGATGCGGTTAATTGATATTTGGTTAAGTTTGTGGTACAGGGAGCCAGTGGTAAAGTTAGCACAATGAAGCGTGAGCTTGAAGCTTTGGAAAAGAAAATAAAAAATTGGACCAAGTCTTTTCAAATTTGCTGCAAGATAAAAGGAGAACAGAGTTCTTCTGGAACTATTAAATTGGTCAATGACCATCTAAAGAAGAGAACTTGTTGCAGATTTATACGCCAGGGTATTCAGGTCTGTTTAACTCTCGCTGTTATTCTCCTCAAAACACTGAAATTATTTTGTGACAAGATGCATAAGTTGTCTATTATTTCTTCAGTTGTGGGAGGTTAACGATTTGCAGAACAGGAATGGCCATCACAATGTCATCCTCAACTACCATGGGTTCATCTGTAAGAGGTTTTTGTTATTGTGTTTTTATGTCAAAGACAAATATGTCGGGAAAGTTTTACATTTATTCTTACAATACGGTGATTTGCAGTCTCGCATTAAATACTGGCCTAAATTCAAGCGTTTTAGTTGCAAATAAATTGAATGATATGAACATCAGTAAGGTAACAAACTTAATCACATAACTGAAGTCATGTTTTTCACTATTTCATTTCTCATCCTTATCTTTAATTTTTTTTATATTGGTCATTAGAACTTCCCAAACATGGATGCTTGCTCTGCATTTCATTGTCTTTAGCCATGAATCTACTAAGAAGTATGTTGGGCCCAAAAGTTTGGCACAGGAAACACAAGTAAGGAATCCTATCTCAGAATTTCACGTGTCTCCTGCATTTATCTTTTGAAATAAAACAATTTTTTCAGTTGAACTTGTATCAGAAAAGTACACCCACTTATGCTTTGATTTGTCATTGTACTAGAATGAATCAGATAATAGTATATATTTCAGATTTCGAGCAGGTGACTGTAAATTGTTGCAGTTATCTTGTCTCTGGTCTTGCTTGTCAACTTTACTTAATATTTTTCTGGTGCTCTATCTTCTTTATCTTAGAAATTTCAGCGTTCCAGAATGCAGTGGTTGAAAGTTTTTTCATTTTATTTCTTCTGATTATGCAGAGAACTGGTTCACTTTTAAGAAATCTTCATGATGTCGTTGAGGAAGTACAGGTAGCATGGTTGGACATTAGAAATATGACACTTGCTAGCTTTCACTTTCCATCAGGTACATTTTTTTTCGTTATTGTGTTATTAGTAACAACATGGTTTAAATCCTTGAATCAGTTGGCTTTGGAAAATTTGCAATTTAATTCTTTTTCTTTTATGTTTGTATTTTGGGGTTGGCTTTGGGTTGCTAAGGTTTAAACCAAGCCTCTTCTTACCAGGGCAGAAGGTTCTTGGCAGTTTGATTCTTTTCTTCTTGAAACCAAACTACCAAAGTCAAGATTGATGACTAGATCACTTTCTCATTAAACATATTACATTTTGAAGCTTGTTCGTGTTTTCTCCGGCATTGAAACTGAGTTCTTCTTTATTATTATTATCTACTGGAATGGAGTTTATTGATTTGAGGTTCCTAGATAAATTTTTGGGTAAACTATGTATTTAGTCACTCGTCTATTCCTATGGTTCCATTTTGGTCACCCAACTATTTTTTTCTTCAAAATCATACCTAACGTTACGTTTTAGTCCCCACAGTTAAAAAAATAAACATAACTGCTGATGTGCCAATTTTTTTTTCAATGATGACATGGCATTACCTTATGGTGACACGGAAGCATTGCCGTTAATTTTTTAACGGCGGTTGACCAAAACGGAACCAAAGTGTAATATTAGGTATGATTTTGAAAAAAAAAAGTAGTTGGGTGACCAAATGGAACTGCAGGAATAGGTGAGTACTAAATATGCAGTTTATCCTAATTTTTTTTACTAGTGGTAGGATGGAATAACAGTCGTGAAAGAAATAATGGTTAGGTTTCTTTCTTCAGTCAGTTGGACATACTAAACGTAGTCTCATATGTTCTTACCATTAAAAGTTCTAATACTTCTATCTCATCCAGTTAGTTCTTTTTGTAGCATGGTTAATGGTTTTTGCATAACCATACATGGTCTAGCAAAGTAAAATCTTTGTTGAGTGAATTACTTTTGCACTTAGTCTGTTGAAAAGACATGTTTTATCAGATTGAAACTTGATATAACCTCCATGCTTTGCAGCTAAGCAGTTGGATTTACAGCTTGCTTTCGTTGATTTTTAAAGTGGTACAAAGGTGACGATGACTCTTGACGTGACTTGTTTGAACTGGTAAAGTCCTGCATAAATTGTTTTTTTGAACATTTTCAATGATAAGCATTTTGTAAGTCTGATGCTTTATCTTATGTCTGAATCGTCTGGTTTGGTGTATGATCTTTTGATGTAGTTGAGAAATTTATCCTCTAACGAGAATGGTTTAGTTTGTAACTGGTAAAGTCTGGTACATTATTTTTGAATATTCTAAGAAATAAAGTGAGAATTCAAATGAAGAGAGAACATAAGTTCTATTCGAATTGATTGCTGAAAAAAAAACAGCCTACTTTTATAGGATGAGAATTGCAAAAGTAAAATTTAACTAGATATCTTTTTCCTAACCTTTATCTCCTAAAAAACCCTTACCTTATCTTCTAAGAAGCTATAGTCCTAATCATAAAGTACAATTATGACAGCTTTCCACACACCCCCTCAAGCTGGGTTTATATGTTGTACAAACACAGCTTGGATTTGAGCCCGTCAAAGCTCGTTCTTGGAAGGGCTTTGGAAAGAAAATCGGCAAGCTGTTGTTGAGTAGGAATATAGTTTAGTTCCAAAGTCTCATTGTTGACCTTTTCTGAAATAAAGTGTCTGCTAACCTCCAGTTCTGCATGTGTTTTGTCCGGTCATGATGAACATGATTTTTAGCAATGCTTATGGCTGATTTATTGTCGCTTTGTATCTTGAAGTGATCCTTTGAATCAACCTGTAACTCTTTTAATAGCCTTTAAATCTACATCCCTTTACAAATTCCTCAAGTGCTCGAAATTCAGCCTCGGCACTACTCAGAATTGCCTGGTTTGGATATATGGTCTTTTCATGTGGTTGAGAAACATATGCTGTATTGAGAATGGATTAATTTGTAATGGCTGTATAATATATCCAGATATGTTTAGATAAAATTTGTCAACTAATTATACTTTCTTATTTCTTGGTTTCTTACAGTGGGGTCTATCCGTCAGATATCCAACCTTATCGTACACAAACTCCCGCCGCTGGGACAGAAAACTTAAAGCATCAAGCACTCTTGGCTGAAATCAAAGCAGCGGTTGGGAACCTTAGGGCTGGATATTTGAGGATTATAAGGCTCTGTAGGTGTGTTTCCCAGGTGATGCAATCTTCAGGAAGGTGCTGAGGTTTTTCTAGCATCTTTAAGAAAACAGAAGGGGCGTCAGCAATTTGTTGGAAGCCTCTCTCTGTTGCTTGTGTGAGGCTGTGAGCATGATGTTTCTTTACAAATTGTACTACGGAATCGACGACTTGCCCTGACATCCTTAGTAAGTAGTTGATTAGCTTTCTTTCTCGAATTCATGGAACATTTTTTGTGGTTGTGTTAGCCTTTGTAGTGGAGCACCTTAAAGTAGCCAGTTTACTTGAATCTGATGAGTTTGAAGTAAAATGAACTCTACTATTTTTAAAGGCTGCCTCTATTAAATGCAAGGTTAGCCTCTTTTTATCATTTTCCCCATCTTTTCTGTTTATTTGTTCGTTCGTTCTTCCAAGTGGTGCTATTGATGGTTGATGACTAACAAAGTTCATTATCCAAGAACTGTGCCTAATGAAGGAATCAGCTTGATAACGTTTGAGAAATAAAAGATGTGTGGAAAGATAGATGCGCAGCATTTTGGACTGTATTTTTCACAGATGAGATGAGAGCCCTGCCCTGTTAATGAGGTTAGCTTCTCTCTCCTTTGAAAAAGAAAATTTCCCAAAACAAGAATTTAAAATTTAGTTTGTTGAAGCGTGTACATCGTTCTTGTTTGAATTGTAAATACTAGGACCACCTGATTGATAATGTGTGCTGTTCTTTTTGGACCATTAAAGCCATTGTAGGAAATTGGATGTGGTTTTTTTCAGAGAAATTGAAAGTGTCTGAAATTGTGAATGGTATGGTGGGAAACTGTCTGGTATAGACAATCTTGCCAGTTATAGAGGTGCATTATTTTTCCTAATTACCAGGCGTAGAATTTACATTGGTTCAGTCAAGGTTTGTAGATCCAAAAGGTTTGTTAAGTAGGATTTCTACTGTATTTAAAGAGCCTCCCCCCCCCCACAAAAAGAGGATGAATCCAAAAAAATGGATTTTTCTCATCTTAGGATTGACAAGGGTGAGCTGTTTCACACAACTCTTATTTCAGGAGTCAATTCACTTGGCATATCCTATATTTTTGTAACCCATTGTGTATATCTGTAAAAACTAAACAAGACAAGGAAAAATATCTTCGCAAATTATTTGACCTTTGAAAGTCCTTTTGTTTCACTAAAAACAGCTTTCGAAAAATAAATTACATTTCATGAAAATATTTTTCAGAAAATATTTTTTAGAAAATATTTTACATTGTTTGGATGCTGCATTATAAAATGTTTTATACTGTTTAGTTAGTTTTTCTGAAAACAATTTACGAAATCTGTTTTTTTGTAAAAAGATATAATTTTTTTTTAATATTTTTCTTGTTATTTACCTTTTAAATTTATTTTTATAAAATTGTATTTTACAAAATTTTGAAATTAAATGTTTTATTTCTATAAGTACACCAAATTAAATTTGTAGATAACATAATAATTTATGTTGATTGTGTTATAAATACATAATTCTAGGTTTGAAGTATTCATGATACTTATTTATTAGCATTTTTAAAATTAAATTTTAACTTATAATTAATATTATATGTAGGTTTAATTGATATAATCTTGATAATGTATTAAAAATATATTATCAAAGTAAATAATTAAAATTACATCATTATTAAAACAACAATAGTACATCACATTGGAATAATAATAATCTTTTCAAAGTGTTTACATAAAATTACACCACATTAAGACAACGATATTATCCAACTATAATAAAACAAAGATATTGTTTAATTCATAATTAGTGTTATAACGCATCAAACCAACATATTGTTAAAGTCTAATTAGTACTACACCACATTAAAGCTTAAATATTGTCCAAGTCATAAATTGTAATACATGTTATTAAAAGTTCATATCTTAACTTTGAGGAAACTTTTGAAGCCAAATTTTCCTATGTTTTGGTTTTTTTTTTGTCAAGAAAGCTTTGGCCTCTAACTCATTTTTTGCTAAAAAAGTTAAACACCTCACAAAGAAAGTCGTTATCAAATTCTTATTTCTCCATTGACGTAACTTCTTCATAAAGATATGGTGTCTTATCCTCTGTAAATTTTTTTAGTGTTTCAGCAATCTCACCAAGTTTCTCACCTACTAATTGAAAATGATCATCCTTGACATTCTCTTGGACATTCTTCCTTTTACGTTTTGATGTACCAGATGAAAATAATTTTGTTTTTTCCTCATCGATATCTTGAGTACAAAATTTAACAG